CTCTATAGAGACCCTCTGAGGTGCCACATTGCTTAGAAGGCAATTTGCATGAGTTCTATTTAGAGAAGGCTTTGGATGGCGTTATGTCGAAGATGTCTGGATAAGCTTTCTTCTCTAAGAGATATTAATATTAGACATAACAAGTAAAATAGTATCAGTCGGCTTTGCCGATAGATGTATACCTCCAGTCTTGAGTTACGATTTTTCAAACTGTTGACCATTTATGGGAGAGGTTCCGAAGCAGTTGGCAAATATTAACCAATTTGTATCTGACCTAAGACTGATATAAATATTACAACGTGCAAAATTACGTTACGCAAGTTATGACAAAAAAAAAAGTGTGACTCTTTGTGGATTAGGTACCAGAGGGGGTTCGCAGATATATATCTTCTTCACAATAGATCTTGAGTTACTAAAAATGATTGCATGTGTGAAATTTGAAGAGAATTGGATGCTTATTTCGCATTCTTTGAGCCTTTTTGTTTTTCAAAATCTTAAACCCTATGTGGAGGAGATACCAGAAGAAATGGTCCGATCTCTACCATCCATGCCATTGAGATGTGCCAAGTCTGAATGGAATCGGATGTTAATTTCGTGTTTTATGAGCTTCATGAATATTCAAAATGTTGACCCTTTGTGGGAAGGTATTGGATGGAGTGGACCGACATTTTCCATGTTCGCACCTGACCTAAATATTAGGATTTGCAAAGCTTCAGCAAAGTCAGATTATCCTTTCTCTTTCTGTGTAGTAAATATTTTTCTTTGAAATTGTTGTTATTATGTGGGGAAGGGTACCAGAAGGAGTGGACCGATATTGCCCATTTCCGAACTCGATCTAAATTTGTTAATAATATTACGATGTACCAAGTTTGAACCAAATCGGATACTCCCTTTGAGAGTTATCATGCGCCCCAGCCAGCTAGGCAGACAGACGGACGAAAGGGACATCGCTAACTCGACTACAAATGTCCTGAAACGGATTTGGTCCAAAGAGACCCTGAGTCTAAAGCCGTGATATCGGTGAGACTTGTTTCGGTCGTATCGAACTTTCTCTTAGACATGTAGAAGGTCATGCCTTAATAGGAAACTTGGAAAAAATTGTTTTCCATTCAAAACAACAACAAAATTAATTAATTTCCCCATTCAACAAAGTTCTGGAAATTAGTTCAATTTAATTTTCAACACATTTCCCCCATCAACTCTTTTAATTGTACGGCAATTTTAAGCAGTAGCCGGTTTTATGCCACTCTTAATTGGCGAAACAAAATGCCAACAAAATTTCATTGACTTAGAAAAACAAAACGGTTTCGAACAAAAGCCGAATTCTAGTTTCACAAATAAAATTCTGGGATTTTTTGTTTGCTTTGTTTTCATGTGTTTGTAATTAATTCGAAATTGTTTTGAGTTGTGCGGTAGTCGTTGTTATTGTTGCTGTTGTATTCGAAATGACGACAGTGGCAAATGTTAGTTAAATTATCTTGACTTTGACTTTTGAAGTTGTCGAACAAAACCGCGACAGAGATTTAGAACAAATGATAAGACTTACAAAACGAATGTTTTCAAAGGTGTGGGGGGGGGGGTCACGCTGAAGGAGAAGGGGTAATTCGGGCAATAAAACATAAATAAAATAATTGAGTGTCAGAGGGGGCCTAAAAGCTCTAAAGAAAATATTTTTTTCGATACAATCTGAAAATGAAGATCAAATGGATTTTGGCGAAGCTGGCCATAGCAAAAATACCAAAAATTGTGCAGCCAACCGAACAAGTCCATGGGGGCTATTTCGAAGAAAATTGGCAACAAAAATAATAACAAAATAATCGAGCGATTGGAAAACGCCCCTGGACCAACCACTTGGGCCACTTGCATGGTGACAAGGCAGTGGTTTATCGGACTGCCCGTCTGTCCGTCCGCCTGTTTGTTGTTTGTTATTTACTGAACAGTGACAGCTGCCTTGAACATGTCACATTTTGTTGTCAAACAATGTCGGCGTTTTGTTGTTGTTGTTCTTTTTTTTCTCGCGACCATTGTTTACTCCAAACCACGAAGCAAAAAATATGGCAAAAAACAATTACAAATATTTTAGACTTGATTTTTGGTAACACCATTTAGTTGACCACCAGCACCAATACCACCCAACAGCATTGCCACTGCCATCATCTGACAACAGTAGCAGGGGGAAAACCGTCTCAAAACCGCCCGGTTTTCAAGGCCTTGCAATATTTCTGAGAATTTTTTTTTTCCACTTTTTTTGGATTGTTACTAACAAACATGGGTTCTATGTCAAGTTAAGACTTTAATAAAAAGAATCGCATGAATTGCATTCGAAATGACCTGACAAGTCAATTACCATAAAATATGTGAGAATAAAAATCGAACAGAACAAACAAACAAAATTCGGAAAAATATTTGGAATTTTGAGACAAGATTAACATTAGATTTTGGGTAAGTGAGGTAGACTGCAGGCGGAGGTTTTGAGAAAGCTATGGTGCACATCCACCCAAGATTACATTTTTTTACATAGAAGACATCCTAAAGGTCTACAATCCAAAGGGGATTCTCAAGGAAGTTTGGGTAGGACCCTTAAGAGGTATTTTGTGATCGACAACCTTCAAAACTTCGTTTTTTGAAAGGAAAACAAGTCTTTCTCTAGTCAGGATTTTTCAGAAAGAAATCGATTTTAGATAGATATTGCCAAAATCTGTTCTAGATACTCTTTGCAGAGGTTTAGAAGATACTCCAGAACTTGAATGTAGATAGAAGAAGTTCCAAAGTTCAACGAGCATTTTCAAGGAATTTTGGGTAGGAATTATATAGATGGGGGACCCATAAGGGCAATTTTTTGATCGACAACTTTCAAAACTTCGTTTTTTGAAAGAAAAAGAAGCCTTTCTCTTGTCAGGATTTTTCAGAAAGAAATCGATTTTAGATAGGTATTGTCAAAGTCTGTTTTAGATACTCTTTGCAGAGGTCTAGAAGATACTCCAGAACTTATAGGTAGATATATAAGAAACTCCAAAGTTCTACGACCGCTGCGAAATATCACAATTTTGAAGAATTTCTGCAGGTCTTCTGTGGAGAAGACCTTCTCTGCAGTTTTTACAGCGAGCAGACCTTTTCTGCAGTTCTGCTATTCTATCGAGAATACCTTCTCAGTAGATACTCTATCGAGAAGACTTCCTCTGAAGTTGCTCTATCGAGAACACCTTCTCTGCAGGTCCTCTATCGAGGAGACCTTTCATCAGGTTGTCTATAGAGAGGTCCTTCAGAATGTCTTCAATAGACGAGAGACACTCAGAAGGTCTTCTAAAGACAGCTAATCTATTGACCAAAGACCTTCTATCGGTTTTCTATGGACAGAAGACCTGCCGGTTCTTCTATTGACAAAATACCATCAGAAGGTCTTCGATGGGCGAAGACCTTTTGCAGGTCTTCTATGGACCGAAGACTTTCTGCCGATCTTCTATGAACCGAAGACCCTCTGCCAGTCTTCTATCGACCGAAAACCTTCTGCAGGTCTTCTATGGACCGGAGACATACTACTGGCCTTATATGGACAAAAGACCTTCTGCAGGTTTTCTGTGAGCCCAAGACCTTTTGCAGTTCTTCTATAGACAAAAGACTTCCGCAGGTCTTATATAGACAGAAGACCTTCTCCACGTCTTCTATAGACAGAAGACCTTCTCCAGGTCTTCTATAGACAGAAAACCTTCTCCAGGTCTTCTACAGACAGAAGACCTTCTCCAGGTCTTCTATAGACAGAAGACCTTTTACTGGTACTTCATTGGCCCAAGACCTCTTTCTGGTACTTCTATGAACAGAACATCTTCTGCAGATCTTCTATGGACAGTAGACCTTCTGCAGGTCTTCTATGGACCGAAGACCTTCTGCAAATCTTCTATAGACGGAAGACCTTATGCAGGTCTTCCATAGACACAAGACTATCGTCATGTCTTCTATAGACCAAAGACCCTGAGCCGGTCTTGTATGGACAAAAGACTTTCTGCAGGTTATCTATGGATCGAAGACCTTCTGCAGGTCTTCTATGGATCGAAGATCTTTTGCGGGCTTCTATGGACAGAAGACTTTCTGCAGGTCTTTTATGAATATAGGATCTTCTGCAGATCTTCTATGGACCGAAGACCTTCTGCAGGTCTCCTATGAACAGAAGACCTTCTTCAGGTCTCCTTCAGACTGAGGATCTTTTACTTCTATAGGTCTACTATAGACGGAAGATCTTCTTCTGGGACTTCTATGGACAGAAGACCTTCTACTGGGACCGAAGACCTTCTATGGACCGAAGGTTTTCTTCAGGTCTTCTATGGACCGAAGACCTTCTGCAAGTCTTCTATAGACAAAATATCATCAGAAGGTCTTCTATGGACCGAAGACCCACTCCAAGTCTTGCATAGACCGAATACCTTCTGCAAGTCTTCTATAGACCGAAGACCTTTTGCCGATCTTCTATAGACAAACAATTTCCGCAGGTCTTCTATGGACCGAATACCTTCTGCGGGTCTCCCTTAGACTAAAGACCTTCGGCAGGTCTGCCATGGACCGAAGATCTTCTGCCAGCCTTTAATTGAGAAAATACCTTTTTTATGTCTTCTACTGAGAGAATACCTTCCCCAGGTCTTATCTATGGAGAGAAGAGCTTCTTCAAGTTTTCTACGGATAGAAATCCTCCCTTAGATCTTCTGTAGACAGATGGCCTGCTACAGGTCTTGTATGGACCGAAGAAGACCTCCAGGTCTTCTGTAAATATAAGACTTTCTGCAGATCTTCTACATATAGACAGAAGACCTTCTCCAGCTATTCTATAGACGGAAGAGATCCTTTAGCTCTTCTATAGACAGAACACCTTTTCCAAATCTTCTATAGACATAAGACTTTTTTCAGGTCTTTCCCATACTTTCTCTAGGTCTTGATTTTTTTTTCAAGTTTCTGTAGATAGGAGATCTTTTCGGTTCACTTTTCTCAGAATAGAACCTTCTTCAACACCATTCACTTAATTTTTTTTTTTATTTTCAACAAATCAAACAAATTCATATCACAATTCAGCGCAGCAAAATCATCACCGATCTAACAATCCTTGGTCAGGACACAGGCACCGCTGTCATTTAGTCTATAACCCTGTTTACACTGGCAACCGATGACACATTGCAAGGTGCAGAAGCTTGGCTCCGGTGTGTTGCATTTCAGGGGACAAGCAGTGCCACAGGTGGTGAATTCCTGGTTCTCACCGCATTCTTGGGGAGCTGGAAACGAATTTTTTAAATATTTTTTCCTTTTTTTAATTTTTTTTCAAAACTCACCAGCAAACCCTTGGCCGGCAAACAAAGCCAAAACGGCGAATAGAATCAATAATTGTTGGAAAACTTTTGCCATTTTTGTTGGGTGTGATTTATTTAATAATAATTAAAAACCAGAAAAATATGTTATCTCTCGCTAGAGCTGGGGAACAAACTACTTTCCTATGGCTCGAGCGGCGACACTTTTTATACTGAACTCAGAGGCTTTGCGCGAGAAGCGCAAAAAAGCAAAAACAAACAAATTAAACTAAAATAAATATTTTTTTATTTAAATTTCCCATAAACACAAGTGATTTGGCTGATGGGATATGGGGAGGGGGTTTGCGGTCATGGAGGATGGGGGGATTTTAGTGCAGCTTCACTAGTCAGCTAAATATGTGTGCGTGTATGTGTGTATGAAATAAAATCTGTTATAGAACAAAATAAAAAATCCCCAGATGTTTGCCATTCATATGAGACATTTCACAATTGAAGGAATTGAAAAGAGAGAGAGAGAGAGAGAGAGGGGGGGAAAGGGAAAGGGAGAGGTAGATAGAATGAAAAATATGATTTGAGCTATCAGTAAAGAGAGACATAGAAATGGAAAGTTGAATATTTGAGAGATACTCTGAAGGCCTGAATTCGTCTGCTCTGTGGACTTATTTAACAAAGATTTTACTTGCCCTGAAGGTACCACGAAGCCAGATATCTGTGATGTGAAGTCAATTTGTCAAAACTTTTCTTTCGAAAAATTAAAAATATTTTTCTAATACTTTAAAATTAAAAATCACTTATGGATGAGTATTTTCGAATAGAATAGCAACTTTGAAAGTCTCTCGTTAAAGAGGTGATCTGAAAGAGAACTTCTCCCTATAGAATAGATCTTCGTCCCCTCCTTGCAAACCATTAACGACTCCATTCCCAAAAAGAAATATCGGATTGTAAAGTCAGTTTTTCAAAACTTTTTTCTAATATTTAAAAATATTTTTCTAATACAGGGTGAGATGAAAAAACCGCAACCAATTTCAGACTGTTGTAATTTCTAAGCCACTCGTCCGACAGCTTTTAAAATTATTTCAGTGACAGCTCACTATATTGTTTACAAGCGTACAAAAGCATTTTGGTGGGAATTTTCCAGAAAAAAAGTTATTCGTGATGGAATTCAAGGGTGATAGTGCGATTTTTTTATATTTGGCTGGAAAACCACAAGTGGCTATCGTTAGAACACTCCAGCATTTAAATGTGAATAAATCTTTTGTGTCTCGTACCATCGCTCGTTACCCTGATACTGCTGACGTAGCCCGACGTCAAGGAAATGGAAGTGGATGGAAGAAAACAGCAACAGGTTTTCCTGAAAGAATTCGATTTTAGATAGGTATTGCCAAAGTCTGTTCTAGATACTCTTTGCAGAGGTCTAGAAGATACTCCAGAAATTATATGTAGATAGAAGAAGCTACAAAGTTCTACGACCGTAGCGAAACATCATAATTTAGAATAACTTCTGCAGAGTTTCTGTGGAGACAAGCTTCTCTGCAGGTTTTACATCTAGCAGACCTTCTCTGAAGTTCTGCTATTCTATCGAGAATACCTTCCGTGTAGGCTGTAGCTTTTTGGTGAGAATTTTCCAGAAATGGAAGTGGATGGAAGAAAACAGCAACATCAGCAGAAATGGTTCGAAAAGTAAAAAAGCTACTTGATCGAAACCCGCGTCGCAGTGGCCGAAAAATGGCTCGCAATATTCCATTCGGAAAATATTGAAAAATGAGCTCGGGGTAAAGCTATTGAAATTATAAAAAGTGTAAGAACTCACACCGCAACAGAAAGAAAATAGACTCAAAAGAGCTAAAGAGTTGCTTCGCTTGGCCGAAAGTGGTAAACTGCCGAATTTGGTTTTCTCCGATGGGAAAACATTCGTTGTCCAGCAGTTTGTAAAGAAACAAAATGATCGTATTTACTTGCCAAAGAGGTCAGCTGAAAATGTGCATCTTCAGTTGGCCAGTAGAACTCAAGCGCCGGCCATGGTGATGGTGTGGGACGCCATAACAGCCGATGGTCGCTCTCCGCTCGTATTAAACGACCGTGGCATCAGAATAAATACCGAATATTATCGCGATAATATTCTGGAGGGTGTGTTAAAGCCTTGGGCGCGCAAACAGACCAGACAGTCCGCAGACCTTGGTCATTCCTACAGGACCCGTATATTATCGCAAGAATATTCTGGAGGCTATATTAAAGCTTTGGGCACGCAAACATTTTGGCCGCAGACCTTGGACATTCCAACGGGACTCTGCACCATCGAACTCAGCACGCGCCACCCAAGAATGGTTACAAAATGAGGTTCCTCGCTTAATTTCCAGCGTACAATGGCCACCAAAATCTCCTGATACCAATCCGTTGGACTATTGTGTCTGGAGTATTTTGGAAAGCAAGGTTGGCACTACAAAAAATACCAAAGTGTCGATCACCTCAAGCAAGCGCTACGCCGGGATTGGGCCAAAATAACGCAGAGCAACATTGGGGCAGCGTGTGACGGTTTCATTGGCCGTTTGAAGGTCATAATTCGTGCCAAAGGTGACAAATTCGAATAATTCTAAACTTATTCTAAAATTTGATGCTATTTCCGCATTTTTTTGCTTTCATTCAATAAAATTTAGAAAAAAATGTAAAAATTATGGCGTTTAACTTTGTGGCAGTTTTTTTATCTCACCCTGTAATAAAACATAAAAAATCAAGAGTATCCAATGAAACTTGCATTTCTGAGTTAAATAGTCAATTTTTATGTCCGCGTTTTATTTAATGAAAATAAAAATGATTAATTTCAAATTGTAAGATTTTTTTGTAATGAAGTGTTTTAATTATTGCATTTTTGAATTCAAAATAAAATTTAAAAAAAGAACAAAGTATTTTCTAACATTCACTCAATGGGACACAGCTGCCATAGCTATTGAGAGCATAGCCTGTTTTACATTGGCAACCGGCGACACACTGGGCTGTACAGACTTCGGGACGTGGTCTACCACACCGCAGGGGACAGGCAGTGCCACAGGCGTTGAATTCCTGATTAGGACCGCATTGCTTTGAGTTGGAGTCTATAAAATAAGGAAAGACATTTTTGATAAATTTTCGAGAACTTCTTGGAATTATTTTTTTCCTCAAAACTTACACGACAAGCCTTGGCCAATAAACAAGGCCAAAACAGCGAAGATAATTACAAATTGTTTGGAAAGTTTTACCATTTTGCTGACGATATTTTAAAAAAAGCTGGGCTCAATTGAAGTCTGAAAACGTTTTTAATTTCAATTCGGAAAGCCACAGCAATTTATACTAACCTTTTCTTTGTTCTTTTTGAATAAATGTGTTTAGTAAAATTACATAAGACACATATTAATTGCAAAATTTTCAAAAATCTCACGTACATAAGTGCAATGAGAGAGTGTGTCGGAAAAGTAAAGTGAAGCTTAGAATCTAAATATTTGAAGAAATTGTGATTCAGTAATACCGACATTTTTAGGGAAGTCTTCCATTTAAAGAATACTTTCTAGAAGGCTTTATGGAAATGATAGATTATTCGAAAATAAAAGTCATATACAGGCCTTACAGAGACACTCTATACAGAGTGAGATAAAAAAACTGCAACAAAGTCAAATGCCATAATTTTTACATTTTTTTTAATTTTATTAAATGAAAGCAAAAAAATTCGGAAATATCATCAAACTTTAGAATAAGTTTTGATTTGTTCGAATTGATTACCTTTGGTAGGAATTATGGCCTTCAAACGGCCAATGAAACCGTCACACGCTGCCCGAATGTGGCTCTGCGGTATTTGGGCCCATTCGCGGCGAAGCGCTTGCTTGAGGTGATCGACACTTTGGTATTTTTTAGTGCCAACCTTGCTTTCCAAAATACTCCAGACACAATAGTCCCACGAATTGGTATCCCGAGATTTTGGTGGCCATTGTGCGCTGGAAGTGAAGCGAGGAACCTCACTCATTTTGTAACCAGTCTTGGGTGGCTCGTGCTGAGTGCGGTGTCGCTGAGTTCTGTTGGAATGTCCTAGGTCAGCGGCCAAAATGTTTGAGTGCGCAAGGGTTCAATACACCCTCCAGAATATTCTTGCGATAATATTCAGCATTTATTAATTTTATTAATTTATCTAATGCCACAGACGATTGATACGAGCGGAGAGCGACTATCGGCTGTTATGGCGGCCCACACCATCACCAGGGCCGGCCCTTAAGTTCTGGTGGCCAACCGAAGGTTCACATTTTCAGCTGAACTCTTTGGCAAGTAAACACGATCATTTTGTTTGGACAACGAATGTTTTCTCATCGGAGAAAACCAAATTCGGCAGTTCATCACTTTCGGCCAAGCGAAGCAAGTCTATAGCTCTTTTGAGTCTATTTTCTTTCTGTTGCGGTGTAAGTTCTTGAACTTTTTGGAATTTCAATGGCTTTACCCCGAAGTCATTTTTCAATATTTGCCAAATGGAATATCGCGATATGTTCAGCTCACGAGCCAGTTTGCGAGCCGACCACTGCGACGCGAGTTTCGATCAAGTCGCTTTTTTACTTTTCGAACCATTTCTGCTGATGATGCTGTTTTCTTCCGTCCACTTCCTTGACGTCGGGCTACTCTACCAGTATCACGGTAACGAGCGATGGTACGAGACACAAAAGATTTACTCACATTTAAATGTTGGATGGAGTGCTCTAACGATAGCCACTTGTGGTTTTCCAGCCAAATGTAAAGAAATCACACTATCACGCTTGAATTCCATCACGAATAACTTTTTTTCTGAAAAATTCGCACCAAAATGCTTTTGTCCGCTTGTAAACAATATAATGAGCTCTCACTGTAACAATTTTAACAGCTGTCGGATGAGTGGCATAGAAATGACAGCAGTCTGAAGTTGGTTGCAGTTTTTTCATCCCACCCTGTATATGTCTTTATGAAGGGCTCCTCCACACAAAAAAGAGACCTAGAATAGGCGTTCCTTGTTAATAGAAAATATTTTAAAGATCATCTGAGTATTTGGGATTCCTTTAAAATAATAGCAGGAGTCCTTTTAAAGAATTGGAGGAGTCTTTTCAAAGAATAGAAGTAGTCCTTTTAAACAATATATTTTTACAGTCTTCGGAAAGTTCTTCACAGAGAAACGATTTTAGTATTCAATATTGAGAAGACTATCACCTTCATAAGGTATTCTGTATAGGAAACCAGTTTTTCCTTGTGATAGCCCCATCCCTATAAAATACCTCCTGAGGGGCTTCTTCTTCCCATTAAATGCATTATGAAAGACTTTAAAATATTGAAGACCATGAAAAGGTATAAAATATATTTTCCATATAGAATACCTTACAATTTTTTTCTTACAAAAATGTAGATCTTTTCCCATAAAGAAGGCTTCATGAAGGTTGTTTCACACAAAAAGACCTTATTAAAGCTAGATAAAGGCCTTCTCAAATTAGAAGAACTAATCTAGATATTCTCTATTTAAAAGACCTAATGAAAATATTTTCCATATAAAGGATCTTCTGGTTATAAAAGACCGATAACAGGTTTTCTTTGCATAGAAGACCTCAGTGAAGTTACTCTCTGTTATGAAGATATTATGATGAAGAAGATCTTATAATGGTATTTTCCATATAAAAGGCCTTATGAAGGCCTCCTCCACATATGTAGAAGACCCAATGAATGTATCCACCATACTAGAGAACTTATGAGGGTCTCCTTCATACAAAAAACGCCCTATGAAGTTCTCCTCTATAAAGAAAATATTACGAAGATCGCGAAGACCTTCTCTAAAAGAGGATCACCTGAAGGTATTCTCCTTAAGGAAAATTTGCTAGACTTTAACAGAAGATCTAATGAAGGAATTCTCCACAAAGAAGTCTTTATGAATGTCTTTTCCACGAAACAACTCTTGGGAAATCTTCTCATCAGAATATCAACTCCATCTTGAACACTTAGGAAGGTCTTTTAGAAGCCTTATAAAGATCTTCAACAGGTAGAAAACTTTCAAACGATTTTCTCGATATGGGACACCTTGTAAAGGTATGCTTTCTGTAGAGGGTATTATGAAGGTCTTCTCCATACAAAAGCCGAATGAAGGTTTTTTTCATACATAAGTTCTCTGTATATAAGACCTGCTTGATTAAGGATCTTCTCTATATAGAATACTTTCCATATGACTTCTTAAAGAAAAGCTTCTTTTTTTTGCCTAGAAGAACTTATAAGTATCTGCACAGCATAAAAAAAAAACATTTTTAGGTGTTCTCTGAATAGAGAACCTTCTGAAGGTCTTCCTTGCATAGAAGACTTTATATTGGATTTATATGCAGAAAATTCCCTTTACAAAATATTTAAAAGATTTTTTTTTTTGAATAAAAATACTTCTAAAGCTCTTTCATGGCCTTTCAAAGATCTTCTATGGATACAAGGCCAGAGAAAATTATTTTCGAGAAAATTCATTTCTGTTACTTGCTGATGATGTAATTTCACAACTATTTGCGTGGAACACCTCATACAAATATTCATAGTTTTATTAGCTCATACTTATATGGCCTGCACATGGCTTATTGTTATGACAAGTAGGGGAATTTTTTTTAGTTGTTCTAAAAAAACCTGTTGAGACAATAAAAGTGATGATGTTCAGTATTTACACTTGAGTTATTGTTCAATGAGTTATCAATACAACGATGTAGTGCGGAGATTTGTTTAACACTACGCTACAAAAAATCGTCAAAACTTAAATGAAATCCAGGGTTGAGGAGTGGGAGTCGGGAATTTCGGGTGAAGTAGGCGTTGGAGAATGAGTCGATGAAAAAAAAAAATTGGCCTGAAGTTGGGGTCAAAGCAAAAATGATTAGATTTTGCAGCCTTGCAAGATCTTCCCTAGATCTTCAATAAACAGAAGACCTTCTGCAGTTCTTTTGTAGAGAAGGCCTACTACAGGTTCTTTATACACAGAAAATCTTCCACAGGCCTTGTATATACAAAAAAAACCTTCTTCAAGACCTGAAATGTGTACAGAGCGGACTATCAGAAAATCATCTCTATTAGATTCTCTCTTTACGGAGAGTCTTTCAATGGTCCTATTCTTGGAGAAAATTTTCTGAAAATCTATTCATAGGAACCTGTGAAATCTTCCAAAGATCTTCGAACCAAAGAACGCCATTGAACTTCTAAAGAGCCGTTAAATATAGACCTTTAAAAGACTCCTTCAACGTAGAATAGATTTTCAGAAAATTTTCTCCAAGAATAGGACCATTGAAAGTCTCTCCGTAAAGAGAGAATCTGATAGAGAACTTCTCCGTATAGAAGAGATCTTGGTCGCCTCAGTCCAAATTACTTCACCGCATAGAGAATACCTGCGTCCAAAAATCTCCTTCGCATGGAGAAGATATACTTCTTGTTGAGGAATCTCCTACGGTCTTCACAAAAAAAAAATAAATAAAAATCCAGGCATGCGGTGTGGGAGTTGAACAATTTTGCTTAAGTAGGGGTCGGAAAAGAAGTCGTGAAAAACGAGTAGATTTTGCAGCACTGCTGGAATACAAGTCAAAATAGCCCAGAAATATAACACCTAGAAACCAAATTCACGACATATTTTCGTCTACGGCAGCCTTACAGATGGAAGAAGGCTTCGACAGGGTATGTAAGGGGACTAAAAAGGGATTTCAATATAAAAAAAATCTTCTAAAAGGTCTCCTTTGACAAAAATCGTCCAAAGATTTTTTGAAAATATTAAAAAATAAGGTCTTTTCAGAGGTCCTCCAAGGGTATGTGTCCTCGTTATTGCTTCACAACAAAAAATCTCTTCAGCTTTAATTCCATAAATTTTTTTTATTTAAATTCCACTTCCACCACACTAACACTCCGATTCGGCCACACATTTGTATTCCGAATTCCTGAAGAATCCATCCTTACACTGGCAACCAATGAAACATTGGTAAGTGCAAATACCGGGAGTTCGCTTCTCACAAGTCAGGGGACAAGATGTGCCACAGGTGACAAATTCCTCATTTTCACCGCAGGCTTCACGAGGGGGAGCTGCGAAAATAGTGTTTTTGGAATATATATTTTTTTTCAGAAAAATAGCCATCCTTCCTCTTACCAGATTGTACTGTCATCATGAGCACTGCCAGTAGGGCAAAAAATATGATAATTTGTTTAAAGAATTTTGCCATTTTTCAACCACTTGTTTCTTTCAAAATTTCACTGCAACTAATTGAATTTTTTGCTGTATCAGCGGATTTTATACCGTTGTTTTTCGTGATTTGGTATTTAAAGAGCTGATTG